TGGAAGTTCTCTGTCAATGTATGATTGCAGCCGTTTCTATATTACCTTTAGTAAAACTTTACTCGCATGGGATATCAAAGAGATTGTCCTATGATTTCCACACGATATTATTGGTTTAAAGACAGAACATTTATATGGATGGTTCTTGGTGGATTCACTTAATTACAAAATTTATAATTTAGCATAAAGGTACCCAACAAATTTTTTGTCAGCCAAGATAGTAGTAGAGATGATATGATTTATTGTACACATGTTGTGTTCAACCATAGCTGAGAACAGAATTAGCCCAGAATGTTATAGGTCCAAGGCAAAGGTTCAGAATGAACTGATTTGATATAAGCAAGGTGGGCTTCTTGGAGGTGTTCATGGTGATTGAATAGTGGTGGATGTTTTAGATTCATTGAGTCTGAAGTTCTCAACTTGTACCCATGTCCCCAGCTTCTGGCATTCCATATTTCTGTGCTGCTGTGGCTTTCGTGGGTAGACACACTACTACTGTTCACTGGGCCTTCTGCTTCCTCTTTTTTGTGTGTGCTTCAGCCTGTACATTTGCTTCTTCCTCCAGTTGGTTGATGTGGTTTGAAGTTTCTGACAAGATGGTGCTAAGGTTGAGTGTGGTATCCAGCAAGTTTTAAAAGTTGTCTTCAATATTTTTATTTTCACTTTTTTAGGGACTTAAAGAAGTGACCCTCCTTGGTCAGAATGTTAATAGTTTTCGGGACAATTCAGAGGTGCAGTTCAACAGTGCAGTGTCCACCAACCTCAGCCGTGGTTTCACCACCAACTATAAATCCAAGCAAGGTGGCCTGCGCTTTGCTCACCTTCTGGATCAAGTCTCCAGAGTAGATCCTGAAATGAGAATCCGTTTCACCTCTCCCCACCCCAAGGACTTTCCTGATGAGGTAAGTGTTGACAGATAAGTGTGGTAGGCTGGTATCTTCAAGCATGCTAAAGGCTGACATCAGTAGGGATGCACCAGAGACCTTGAATCCTGCTTGGAGAGTTCTGTGGTGAACTGCTGTATAGCCCACTGAATTCACTAGCCTGCCTTTTTGAAAGAATGGGATGTTAAGTTTATCTGTGAGACCCTGAGGCCTGTGCAGAAAAAGGTTTTATTCCATGGAGGCAGCTGCTTGATAGTGACAGTGGTGGTAACAGTGGTGTTAGGAGGACAGGAAGGGAGACAATGTGAAGTCCAGATGTTGACTTTAGATAGATATGGGTTCAGATCCCAGCTTGGTCACTGCTTTACCAGTGTGACTTCATTAACTTGTCATCTTCATCTGTAAAACTGGGTGAATCATTGTCTCCTATGTAGGATTGTTTGTGAAAGAACCAATGTATTCAAGACACTTAGAGCAGTGCTTGACTGGAATAGGTCTCCCATGTGGAAAACCTTTTTTTTGGGGGGCAAGTTTTTTTTTTTTTTTTTTTTAATGAAATGTCTACTCAAGTCTTGCCTCTACACTTATCTTTTTCCCTCTGGATTATTTGTTTTCTTTTTGAGTTGTAAACTTTTTATGCAAATCCATTGTCAGATGTATGTTCTGAAATATTTTTTTTCATTTTTAGTTTCTTTACGGTAAGTTTTAAAGGACAGAAGTTTAAAATTTTGATGAATTCTTTGAAAAGCTAAGAAAATTATGAATATTTTAATATTTTATTCCAGAAGTTTTATAGTTTCCGCTTTTATGTTTAAGCCTAGGGTTGTTTTCTAATTTAGTTTTTTTTTGTGTGATATAAGGTAGAGCTGAAGGGTCTTTTTGTTTTTTATCATATGAGGGAGTTTCAAAGAATTTGTGGAAAAATGGAATGAAAAGATAATGGATTATTTCCCACAAACTTTTTGAAACCCCTCATATGATTATGTAGCATCATTTTCTGAAAAGGTAGTCCTTTATTTATCAAATTTTTTTTACATCAATTGGCCCTATATGTGTGGGTGGATTTCTGGATTCTTCTCCACTGATCTATATGTCTAACTGTACACAGTATTATGATATTGATTTCTGACGTCTTGAGAGCAGTAGGTTAAGTCTGCAAGTCCTCACACTTTTATTGTGCTTTTTTAAAGATGATTTTTACTATTCATTGTCCTTTGTATTTGAATATAAAGGTCAGAATTGGCTTCTCAGTTTTAACAATAAACAAACCTGCTGGGATTTTGTTTGGGATTGTATTGATTCTGTAGATCAGCTTTAGGGACTAGATAGTAGTGTTGGGATTTTAAATACATGAACATGGTGTATCGTGACACTTCCTGAGATCTTTTCAGTTTTCTCTCAGTAAGGCTTCGTAGTTTTCATTGTGGAGGTTTTGTTAAATCTACTCATGAGTATTTTTTTGTTTTTCAATGCTATTGTCAGTGGGATTTTTTTCAAGTTGTGGGGAGCTAGTACTTTCTCCTGACCTTAATATAATATGCTCTATTTGATCAGGTTCTGCAACTGATTCATGAGAGAGACAACATCTGTAAACAGATCCATCTGCCTGCCCAGAGTGGAAGCAGCCGTGTACTGGAGGCCATGCGTAGGGGGTCCGCTTTTCTTGGGGAGAGGGGCACACCGTAGCTTTCCATGTTTCTGTAATGACCAGACAGTATCTGTATTGCTGGGAACCTAGCACCGTCTGTGGCACATACTAGCTTGTCAGTAAATATTTATTCTGTGAGTGACCCCACGGCTGTTGGAACTTGCTCCTGATCACTCCATAAATCATAGACCAAAGACTAGATCACTCATTTCATATGTTTTCCTTGTATCTTGTTGTTGTTTTTTTTAAGCCTAAGCATCTAACATGTGGCACAATCTATTTGAAAATTTAATCCTCTGATTTTGAACATTAAAATATGTTTTAAGGCAGTCCTGGTGTAGTGCTGTAGGTTGATGCACCAGACTGCAAAGCCGTTTGAACTGTAAAGTCAGAGGTTCGAGCTTACCAGCTGCTCCTCAGAAACCCTATGCAGGGTTGCTATGGGTCGGAACCGACTCTACGGCACTTAACAATAACAATATGTTTTAGGAGCCCTGGTGTGGTGCTGTGGGTTAATGAGCTGGACTGGAAAGTCAGTTTGAACCACATGGTGGTTCAAGCTCACCAGCGGCTCCTCGGAAACCCTACACAGGGTTACTATGGGTTAACTGACTCGACAGCACTTAACAAAAACAATATGTTTTGGAGGCCCTAGTGGTGCTGTAGGATAAGCACTGGATTGCTAATCGCAAGGTTGGCAATTCAAACTCACCAGCTGCTCTTCAGGTGAGAAAGATAAGGGTTTCTGCTCTTATAAAGATTTACAGCCTTGGAAACTGTACAGGGTCACTTGATGGCAGTGGGTTTGGTATATGTGTTTACTGCCTTTGGGAATGATAAGATAATGACTAAATGGAGAATGTGACCAATGACAAGCTTTATGGAACTAATGTATTGCCTTGTTTGTCATCTTGGCAAACACAAAGAATTCTAGAGATCATCTTACATGTTGAATTTGTCTTGATTCATTCATTAAACAAAAGCAATTTAACTAATTTATGTAATTGGTATAGGTTCTAGATTAGATGACTGTATTGAGTTCTTTTGATACTTTGACTTACTCTTAAAGCACTCAGTTAAAGGAATGTAGTTTACCTAGACCTTTTCTTTCTGTTATTTATTACAGATATTCAAGAGAAGCTTATGTGAACTTGGTTCACCATATCAGAGAATCTATTCCAGGTATATTTAAGCAACTTATTCACTGATTAAAAGTGGGGGAATGCATTTCCAACAATAGTAATAAATTTAATATCTGACTCTTTTGCACATTAATTGGATACAGGTGGCAGTAACAAATGCTGAGGTGCCAGGTGAAAGTAAAATTGACTGATGTTTAAGGGTTTGTGTCAACTTCGCTGGGCCATGATTTTCAGTGGTTTGGCACTTATGCAATGATGCAGTTTGGCAATTATGTGATGATACAGGCATCCTTCATTTGGTCTTCTGATGTGATCATCCATTTTTGTATAATGATTTTCACATAACACCCTTGTCTTTGGAACCTAGCTATGTTGATAAGTGGTGAGTGAGTGTATTGATGTGTAACATTCGATAGGAAATTTAGATGACAGTGAGTTTTTGTTAATGGAGGAGGAAGAATTCAGGAAAGGAAGTTGAGAGTGGTTGCTCATTTTGAAACATTTAATCAGTGTCACTGAATGGTACTTGTAGAAACCGTTGAATTGGTGAGTGTTCTGATGTGTATATTCTCAATAGCAGCAATAAAAAGTAAATAAACATTAAGAAAATTTACAAGAAACATAGTCTACTGAGTGAGCATACTACCCTATCCAGGACCACAGTCTTCTTGGGTAGATGCAGGTACCCACCAAAGTCTGTGTCAGCCCTTGCGACACCATTTTAAAATAATGCTTTTGGTCTCCTTCAGTTTTCTCTTTTTCTTTCTCCTGCTTTTTTTCTTTTTATCCTTGTGATGTATTTTTTTATTGTTTATGTCATGATTCTGCTAGAAATACTCTTAGGTGTGTGACTTAGCTTAGGGCCTCAAGGTTAAAGAGAATCTGTGTTTTTGAGCACATTGGGAATGACTTTACTCTTTCTAATGAATTGACAAAGTTATAGTCTAAGACTTAGTGAATTAAGTGAAGGATTAAGTGAGTAGATCATCAGCTTTACATCCAACAAATCACATACACGATCACAATGATTGTAGTCCCCTCAGTGTAGCATCGTTTATCTCACTTCCTCCCTGTGTTTCTTGTTTCAATTCCTCCTCTTCTTCCCACCCTGGGTTTTGAGTTTTGGTCCATAGGGGAATGCTGCCTTTTGATCTTGAATGGTGTGGGTAGTCACTAGTATTGCTGTCTCCCTATTAGAAGCAATCCCCTGTGACTCAACTTTCAGCCAGGCCGCAGTTGAGTCACAGGGGATTGCTATAAATTTTAAAGATGAATTTCTTATTACTTCAGCCCTTATTTACTCTCTTATCATTTAATGGTCTTCAATACACAACTGGTGTCTGTCGGGGCTGACAGATGGATCTGAGAGTTTTTTTTTCCTTCCTCCTAATAAAATTTATCTGTAATCTTGGTTGAAAATACTTACATTTCACCCCAAATTTCTGATTATTTTCATTTATACCATGTACAAATGGAGTCCTGGTGTTATGCTGTGGGTTTAATGCTCTGGACTGAAAAGTTGGTTTGAACTGCAAGGTCAGTGGTTCAAGCTCACCAGTCACTCACCTATACAGAGTTGCTATAAGTTGGAACTGACTCAGCAGCACTTAACAACAACATGCATGAATGCTTTCATTACGATAGGGCAGGATTGTGTAGAGACTCGGTACACTGGCTTCATGTTGGGCTCTGCTGTTATAGACTATGTGACTATATAACAAGGTGCTTCACTTCTCTGGGCCGTAATTCCCACATCTATAAAATGGAGTTTATAACACTCAACTCAGCAAGTTGTTGGGATAATTAAATAGATTATATATAATAGATAATAAACTCAAGTATAAAGGACTGCACGGGCTACCAGAAAAACAAACAATTCTGTTTTGAAAGAAGTAAAATCGGAATGTTCCTTAGAAGCGAGGATAATGAGACTTCATTTCCTAGCCTTGCACATGTTATCAGAAAGGACCAGGATCTAGAGAATGACATCATGCTTGACAGAGTAGAGGGTCAATGAAAAAGAGACAGACCCTCAATTCTGTAGATAGACACAGTGGCTTCAACAGTGAATTCGAGTAGCAACGCTTATGAGGATGGTGTAGGACTGGGCAGTGTTTTGGTTTGTTGTATATAGGGTCCCTGTGAGTCAGAAAAGACTTGATGACATCTAACAATAACCAATTTTGGCACACAGTTAAGTATTCAAAAATAAAGACCAAACCCACTGCTGTGTGAGTTGATTCCTACTCGGAGCTGTCCTATGGGACAGAGTAGAATTGTTCCATAGGGTGTCTGACACTGGAAATCTGTGCAGGAGCAGACAGGTTCCTGTTTTTCCTGAGGAGTGGCTGGTGGGTTTGAACTGCCTACCTTGGGAATAGCAACCCAATGCTTAACTCACTGTGCCAGCCACCAGGCTTCCTAGTAAATACTCAGTAACTGACAATTCTTGTTACAGATGCGGGCACAGCTTTTGCTCCCTTAGGCAGCCTTTTTTTCTCTTAAGGTGAGGGCAGTAAAGACGACACAACACAGATTATTTTAAGCTCGCTTAGGCAGCAGGCCTCCTAGGTTGCACATCTCTTTCCCTCCCATGATTTAGGAACCTGGTTAGACAGTAAGAATATAGTTAAACATTTTCATGTTCTCTCTTTGTATATAAGCTAAGTAAAGAAGGAGCCGGCCAGTGTCCCCTGGTTCCAGGCCTAGCTACTAAAACAATTTAGGGGAGCACAAAGAATCATTGAGGTTGAAAATTGGACATCAGATGATAGAAAGACGTAATGTTTACCATTTCAGCATTGTGAAAGGTTTCTATATCATTGATGGATGGTTTCTATATCATTGATGGATGACGATTTGCCTCTGTTGTCTTCCAAAGCTCCCTAAAACGCTATAAAATACCCTTAGATTCCATTCTCAGTGAGACAGTTGGTGGTAGAAATCCCTCTCCCTCCTATCTGGCCTCTGGAGAAAGCAACAAATGCTGACATTTTTCTTCTAACAAAAGGCTGCCTTGGAGTCTATTTGCTCTCACTTCTGTGGCAGGCAAAGAGCTCGGGTTTTGTCCAGCGTCGTTACTATCTTACACGAAAATAGTGTTTATAACAGAACTCAGAGGTATATATTTGTCTGATGCACTGTAAAAACAGAATCAGTGTGAAAATGACTCTTTCTGTGTCATTAATCCAGCATCTGAAAAGACCTTTTCTTGCACTAAGGGGAAGCTGAGTGAGAAGTCAGGCTCTGGCATGCGAAGGTTAGGGATAGCAGGCCTATCCTCTCTGGCTCTGTAATGACTGTTGTGGTTTACTTGCCCATGTGCTGAATAGCTCCAGGAAAAGGATTGAAATTAACATCCCTACCCCTGTAATCCACAAATGCCAAAGGCCTCTCTTGAAGGTAAGTTGCAGCAACCTGTTGTCCTTTCTATTATGTGTGATAGGTGTGAGCCTCAGCAGCGATTTCATTGCTGGCTTTTGTGGTGAGACTGAGGATGATCACCTCCAGACTGTGTCTTTACTTCGGGAAGTTCAGTATAACACGGGCTTCCTCTTTGCCTACAGCATGAGACAGGTGAGCCCTAGGATGGGGGAAGGAGCTGTGTCTCCCTTGGGACTGACATCATTTCTAACTAATGTAGAGTTGACTGTAGACTGGGCAGAAAAGAAAGTGGTAGCTACACTCTCCTTGAGGAACTTCAAGGATCTCACCATTCACTGTTTATGACTTTCTTAACACTTGTGCAGGGGAGTCCTGGTGCGGCGCTGCGGGTTAATGCACTGGACTACAACGGCAGTTTGAACCACTAGGTCAGCAGTTCAGAACCACCAGCCACTCCTGGGAAACCCTATACAGGGTTGCTATGAGTTGGAACCGACTTGATGGCACTTAATAAGCAACAAAAACCCTGTGTCTACTCTTTGACACAATTTAACAATTTGAGATTGAAAAAACAACTTGTGCCACTATTCCTCTTAGAATATTTTAAAATTAAGTTTAGGCTGTTTAGGATGAAAAAAGATTAGTTGTGCCAACATTCCTCTTCTTTAAAATTTCAGAATGTGGAGGGAGGGAGACTGCTCTTCTTTGCAGGAAACTTAATCAACATCCAGAACTTTTCAACAGATGTGATTTGTTTCACAGAAGTCTCTTGTCACCCTCCCAGCCACCCATCCTCAGCTGCTTCTTGCTTCCATTTTCCTGGGCCAAGTGAACCTACTGTTTCTCACTTTGGAGTTTTCCTTCTGTCACCGATGGCCAGGAACTCGAAGCCTAAGGAGATTAGGAGAGAGAGGGAGAGTAATACATATTTCCTGCAGGGAGGGCAGAGTTTTGGTCTGCTGTCCTTTGCTTGGCAGTACGGATGGCATTGCATGTGTCACTCTTCATTCCCCCAGTCACCTTGAGGCAGCATGCCTCTTGTCTGGGCTGTAGGTTGTGAGGAACCTGGCCATGGGGTTCAGGAAAACTGACTAATGAAAGACTGAACTCATGACCTAAGCCTCAGTTTCACTGAGTTGCCATCAACTAAACTAGTTCCTTTCTTTTAAAGCCAACTGCCACTTAGTATTCTGTAGGCATATTAGTGAGCCAATGAGCATATTCGTATCTTCTTTAGAGAATTGTTTTTAGAGGTGAAGTATCAGAATTGCTATTGGGTTCCATTTTACCATGAATGTCCCTAGTATGCAGAAATGCTAGGGTTGGGAGATGGGCTTTCATTGTCTGATGAAGGCATATTCTGTGGGCACTGAGTGAGTGTTCACATTGAGATCTAATTGCTAGATAGTTGTACAGTGCCGTCAAATCAGTTCTGACTCATAGCCACAGTGTATAGGGTCTCCAGAGTTTGAACTGCTAACTTTGTGATTAGCAGTCCAGTGCTGATCCTACAGTGCCACACCAGGACTCCAATTCCTTGATTAGGGTTAAGGTTTTAGAGACTTTATCAAGTACCGTAATAGATAAGAGCAAAGCCTCTAATTGTAGCTGTATCCCATATTAGCCCTTATAGTGCTGTTTTGAGGATTAAGCTAGCTAATATGTATAAGGCACGTAGACTTACTTTGCACATAGGAAGTACACAGTTGACGGATTGTTCTTGTTTGTAATAAGCAGTGTTAATAATAAGCCTGTAAACGTTTTTGAATTCTTTACCCATTCTCTGTTTTCTTTTATGGATTTGGTAGTCCTCTCAAAAGCATGGTTTGGATGTCCATACTACCATGTTTAGGAGCTCTGGTAGCATAGTGGTTACGAGTCAAGCTGCTAATCTTAAGGTCAACAGTTTGAAACTACCAGTAGTTCACTGGTAGTAGTTTCCAAGAGAATGATGAGGCTTTCTGCTCCTGTAAAGATTTATAGCCTTGGAAACCCTGTACAGGGTCGCTGTGAGTTGGAACCGACGCCACGGCACATAACCACCACCACTGCCAGGTTTAGACTTTCCTTCTAATCCACATTTTTGTCTAGATCAGTGGTTCCCCAGCTGTAGTGAATGTGAGCTCATGTACAGAATGATATATAAATAACGTACATACATACCATGGTTTGGGGTGACTTAAGGGATTTATAACAATAAATTTCCTTTCTCATTTTGGCCTAGGTAATGCATGCTTATGAGATAAAATTCAAAAGATCAGAATAGTATAGATGAGACACAGTTCTTTTCATGGTTCCTAGTTTCTCATTTACTTTCTGGAAGGCAATTGCTCTTAGCAATTTGTGTATAATTTTCCAAAGATATTTCATACATTTATAAACATATTTTGGGAGAAAGGTAAGGCTTTCTACTTCTGCAAAAATTTAGCCTTGGAAATCCTATACAAGTCACTATGAGTTGGAACTGACTCCATGGCACTTAACTACATTAATAGACGTCTAAGATATTTTGCATCTTTATAACGGTGCTGCAGTGAATACCAGAGTATATGAGCCATTTAGCATATGTATAAATGTAACCTTACCGTAAATACAAAGAGTAATTGTGAGTCTTTGGTTTTCATTTCTATACTGAATTTAGAATCTAACCCCTATAAAAATGTGACTTCATGCTGCTGTAGAAATCCCCTTTTCTCTTGGGAAACTCCAGAGTCAGAGGACCCCCTTTGTGGTGGCTTTGATTTCTGTACATGTGTTTGTAACTGCAGGTGGAATGGATATGGTCCCCTGTGTCTCAAGGATGGATTCTGCAAGTCCTTGGTGACCTCCATTTCTTCTTTTTGTGTGTGTAGAAAACACGGGCATATCACAGGCTGCAGGATGATGTCCCGGAAAAAGTAAAATTAAGGCGTTTGGAGGAACTCATTGCTGTCTTCCGAGAAGAAGCAACAAAAGCCAATGAGACTTCTGTGGGCTGTGCCCAGCTGGTGCTGGTGGAGGGGGTAAGGCCGCATGTATATATATATATATTGTTTTCTTTTATAGGACTTAATATATAGACTTTTTATTTGGATCTTTGATTTCTTGGATCTGCCTTTTTATAGTTTTCAGCTTGTAAGTCCTGCACGTGTTTTGTTAGCTGTATATCTAAGTATTTAAATTTTTTTGCGTGATTGTAAATGATATTGTACTTTTAGGTTCAATGTCCACGTGTTCATTGCTACTACATCAAAATACTATTGGTTTTTGTATGTTTGTCTTATATCCTGAGACGTTACTGAGCTTTTTAATAGTTCTAAGAGTGCTTCTCTTTTTAATGGTTTCCCTATGATTTTCTATGTGGAAAGCCTTATGGTGCCTGGAAATATATTTGAGTTTATTCATTTTCTGTTCTTGTGGGTGGGTGTGTGGTAGACTGTCCCACGGTGCTAACAGTTCTGCTGGGAGAGCGAGTATTCTGACCTGGGACTTCTGCTGTGTGTCTCCCTTCATGTATAGCCAAGTTCCTGTCTCTTCTGCATCTTTGGGTCTGTTCAGCACTGGCGAGTGGGTGCTGACCTGTAGCTTCCTCAGCTCTGGGTGAAGGTCCTTGTCTCATCCGCTTCTGTTCCTCTGGTTTTCCATGTGGCATTGATCATCCTCATCCATCAATGCTTCCTTGCCTCTGTGTCTAATCTGCTTGTCTTTGTATCCAGAAAGTGATTGGCTTAAGACCTCCACGAATATGGTCTCATTAACATCACAAACAAGAGCTTCCCAAATGGGATTATATACACAGGTATAAGCCAGAAAACCAGACCCAATGCCCTCTACTCCATTCCAACTAGTAGTGACTCTGTAGAGCAGAGTACATCTGCCCAGCAGGGTTCCCAAAGCTGTTATCTTTACGGGGACTCCTGGTGTGGCACTGCAGGATCAGCACTGGACTGTGAGCCGTATGGTGGTGGTGGTGTTAAGTACTGTGGAGTCGGTTCTGACTCATAGTGACCCTGCACAGGGTTTCCGAGGCTGTAAATCTACAGGAGCAGAACGCCTCATCTTTCTCCTGCAGAACAGCTGGTAGTTTCGAACCGCCAACTTTGAGCTTAGCAACTCGATTCATAACCACTATGCTACCAGGGCCATAAGGTAGGGAGTTCAGACTCATCAGCTGCTTCTAGGAAATCCTATGCAAGGTCGCTATGAGTTGGAACCGACTTGACTGCACTTAACAATGGTTTTTATGGAAGCAGATTGTTTGATCTTTATTGGTGTAGTGGCTGGTAGGTTTGAACTGTTGACCTTTTGGTTAGTAGCTGAGTTCTTAACCACTGTACCAGAAAAGCTCCTTTCCAAGGTATAACTTGCAATAGGTATTTTAACACTTATTTTCAGGAGGACATAACTTAGTCCATAACAGGGATGCTTAATGATATTTTTGGAGCTCTATTTTTTTTTTTTCAGTTTTTTCCTCTCTAGATTTCTGTTCCACAGTTTCTTGCTGTCTCAGAATCCTGGACTCTGACTGATCCCTGTCTCCTCAGTTTAGAGAAAACTGCCATCCCCTTGCTCTGTATGCTCCAGTCTGGAATGTGCCTTTGGCAGAAGACATGGGCATTTGGAGTATTTACTTCATTTGTTTTCTATTTTCCAAGGAATCATGGTCTTGTACAATCTGTTGTGTGGTATCTGAAGATAGTCTCATACCTTTTGTCTGGTTCTGGAAGGTAATGTCTGTGAGAGAGCCTGATATGTGTTCTTGAAACGTATCCCATTGAAGTGGTTTCATTGTCCTCTTGGCTCTGTCTTCTACTTGTTATGCTGGAGACTGGCATTGAGGCCTTCTGTTCAGTAGGGGCAGGTCACCTAGGCCAAACAACACTAGAACATGCTGAGTGATTGTGGTGAGACTGGATAAAGTGAAAATTGGGTTGTCAGGTTCCTGACTGCTGGCCAGTTGGAGGTTCATTTCTGGAACAGGTAATTTTGTAGTCAATAATTTATAATTGTTTCATTCATTAACAGAAAACTTTATTGAGTTCCTGCCACGTACTGGAACAGTGTGCCATGTACTGTTCTTGTTGGTGAAGCAGCAGCAAACCTTTAGTCTTTAGTGAGTCCTTGGAATGGTCTGTGGGTAAGACCACTGGGAATCTGAGCTGGATAAAGCATAACTTCTGTTTCCTAAGAATTGCAACTAGACAGATTAAGGAACAGATCAGGACTAGTTGAGTATAATAAGATCCGTGCCATGGTGAAGGCAGTTCCTCAGAACTTGGTCTTCCTTACCCTATCTGCTTACTCTGTGTCTGTACCGGAACAATGGCAGGGAACTCAGTTTTGCTCTAACAACTCTTGAGCTTTAAAGGCGAGTGAGAACAGTTGCTCACTGTCCTTGTTATCTGTCTAGTGCTGCTGTCCACAGTGGACAGCTTTAACAAGCAGACATTTAGTCTCACAGTGTAGGAGACGAGAAGTCCCAATTCATGGCCTCATGTCTCTCTCTTTTTTTTTAATGTTTTATTGTGAGTTATATGATAGTTTACATGGGAGAACATTAGTTTTACATTCATTCTATCGTATATCGTTTCATTGCCATGATTACAATCCCCTCCATGCATCATCAACCAACCTGCAAGACTGCCCACTACAGTACCCTCAATCCCCCCACCCCCCACCCCCAGTCTTCAGCACACAGTCTCTCTCCCTCTCTGGATCTAAAGTCCCCAGCTGCTCCATCGCTCCACATCATCATCTCTGCCTCCATCTCAGGCATCACTGCTTCTCTGGGTAGGGTCCCGCTCTCTGCTCTTCTCCCTTGATGGTCCTAGGGACCTCCGCTCCTAGACTGGAAAGTTAATTACTCCCTTCCTTACTGTGAAACGTCTACCTTTACATTTCCAACCCTCACAATCAGTCTTGATAACAATTATTCACTATTGTATCACAAGAGACCCATCTGCATTTCAGTTCATCAGCTCCGCCTAGTCATGTTTCTTGTTGGCTCACAATTCAGGAGGAAGATCCTCATTTCCTTTTAGCATCTTTTATCACATACCTACCAAACCACTGAGAATCATGGTTCAACCAAATTGACATGTATTCTTTGGGGACCCAATTGCATCCATGACAGCTAGCATTTAAAGAGCTTGGGCCTTTTCCTGTTGTTTCTCATCTGCTGCACTGTTCACAATTTATGTAGTGATTAGAGGTCTTGGCAATATTGCTGACTTTTTTTAAACACTGTTTTCTGTCCTTTGCAGAAACATCCACTGAATTTTAGCTAAAGCCTCGACATGATTGTTCCGAATTGGGGTCTTCCATCTTGACTTTGATAGTCACTAAATAACCTTAGGAAGCACCCTCACTTCTTAGAGTCTGTGTCCTCTTTTATGAATGGAATTAACAATGCCTACTTCTTAGGTTTAATCTTTCATTCCACAAATGCCTTGTGCATGCCTATAATGTGCCGGGCACTGTTCTAGATCTTAGCAAGACAAAACTTCTTATGAAATGTTTGTATTGTTTGGGTGATACAGATTCTCAGAGCAAACAAATATATGTTTTGTTAGTAGGTACAAAGTGCTAAAGAGAAAAAATAAAACTGGAAGGAGGATGGATTAGCTATCAGTTAACCCACTTCTGTCAAATTGACTTTTGACTCATAACAGCCCTTTGGACATGGTAGAACTACCCCAGTAGAGCTACCTCATAGGGTTTCAAACGTTGCCATCTTTATGGGAGCAGACTGTTAGAGCTTTCTCCTCCTGAGCAGCTGGTGGATTTAAACTGCCATTTGGTTAGCGACTGCCATTTGGTTTGCTTAACCACTGCACCACCAGAGCTCCTTAGTTATCAGTTACTATGTAACAAATTACTCCTAAACCTAGCATGTTAAAATGATAAGTATTTGTTATTTTATACAATTTTTGAGGATCAATAATCTAGGATGGAGTCCTGGTGTATTGCTGTGGGTTAATGCGCCAGACTGCAAAGCCATTTGAACTGCAAGGTTGGTGGTTCAAGCTCACCAGCTGCTCCTTGGAAACCCTACACAGGGTCGCTATGGGTCAGAACCAACTCGACAGCACTCAACAACAATAATCTGGGAGTGGCTTAAATGGCTCAGGTCTCGTGGAGTTGAAGTCCAGCTGTTGGCCACGGCTGCTGTCAACTGGAGGCTCAGCTGGAGCTGGAGGATCATTTTTCAGGCTCCTGCACCCAGTTGTTGTCACGCGTTAGTCCTTTGCTGGCTGTTGGCTGGAGGCCTCAGTTCCTTGCCTTTAATCTACAATGCTGATGACCACCATGTACTTCTCTTCACGTCTTCTCCCCCTGTGGTAGTTAGTTTCTAAGGTTGCTCTCAGTAAGCCTCTCCTACTGTTGTGAAGTCTATTCCATTTTGAAAGATGGTTGCATGCTGTACAAAGGATGGTAGGGGCTTCTCCATAGGGTTGCTTTATAGTCCTTAGGACATGACAGCTGGCTTCCCTGAGAGCAAGTGGTTCAAGAGAGAGAAGGAGAAGGAGAGAATGGCCACAAGAGTCTGAGATGGAAGCTAGAAGCTGTAGTCTCTTTTGACCTGATCTTAGAAGTGATGTGTCACCACTTCTGCATTATTCTACTGGCCTCCTCAGTCACCTTTCATAGGATGATTATATAAAGGGTGTGTGCGCCATGAGGCAGGGATCACGAGGGCCAAGATTGGAGGCCGGTTGTCATACTGCCATGGGGTGTGTGGTGTAAAGTGTAGGTAGGGGCCCAGGGTGGTTATTTGACATTTTATAACAGTGATGACAAAGCTTTACCAAGAAGGTGAAGTTTTAGGAGAAGCTTGAAGGAAGTAAAGCTAAGCCATGCTGCATCCAGGGAAAGAGTTTCATGCAGAGGAGAAGAGGAGACAGGAAGTTCAAAGTTTGTGAGGCAGGATCAAGCGTGGAATGTTGGAGGGACAGAAAAGTCTTGCTGAGCAGAGTGAGTAAAGGGGTGATGGTAGAAGATGCATCCAGAGAGTTCAGATGACCCAGATCATTGGGAGCCTCTGATGCCATTGTAAGGGTGTCGATTTTTAATCTGAATGAGGTGGAAAATTTGATGTATCCAGTTTACCTTTTGAAAGGATCACTGTTGAGAATAGACTATAGAGGGGAAAAGGTGATATTAGGGTTCTGTGGTAAAAGTTGGAGTCCTGGTGTGACTTTGTAGGCTAAGCACTAGACTGCTAACCGAAAGGCTGGAGGTTCAATCACACCAGCCATTCCTTGGAAACCCTATACAGGGTATGTTGGAACCAACTTGATGGCACCTAACAACAATTTAACAAATTGCAAAATCTGGTGTTAATGTTAAGCAGCAATGGATGTAAAGTTTCTGGCCCAATTTCTGACACCTCGTAGGCAGAAGATACGTTGTAGTTCTATTGCCCTTAAAAATCTATATACTGTGACTACTCCAAATACCCTTTTTTGTTCTTTCTGCAGCTCAGCAAGCGCTCTGCCACTGACCTGTGTGGCCGAAATGATGGGAACCTTAAGGTGATCTTCCCCTGTACAGAGCTGGAGGATGTCTCTAGCCCTGGTCTCAAAGTCAGAGCCCACCCTGGGGACTATGTCCTGGTGAAGGTAAGGTGTCCTTGTGGGCTTTGGGCTTGCACTGTGAAGATGAATTGGGTTGGCTAATTTGGGAGACAAACTTTTCCTGGAGAAATTCTTTAGTAAGATAAGAGTCGCTTGGATTGGGTTTTAGACTAACCCGAAACTAATGCTCTCTTCTTCTTCTGTTTCCTGTCCTGGAACTTGTCTTTACAGGAATGTGATGAAGTTGAAGCATGTAGTTTCTGCTGTTGAGAGGCCAGGAAGTGCAGGCAATTTTGAGTTAGTTGATAGTGGTCTCTGTCAGAGACCAGCATGCCTTTGGTGGTCTTTGAGACCCCAGGCATCTTACCTGATAAATGCTCAAGTTTTCTGGGTTCCTTCCCTAGAATAGCAGGTCTGGCTACATGACTGTGGGATTTCCCCTTCTCCCCTTTCACTGAGGGTATTCTTCCTTTTTTTCTCCCCTTCTCTTTCTTCCTTCATCCCTCTGTTTCTTCTCACATTTTTACAGGTCTAGCACGGCCATCATCCCTGTTTTTTTCTGGTGCTTATACCCTGTTTGCCCCTGAACCTGAAGGCAGCAGGGAATGTATGTGCTTGTGAGGTAGGCAGGAACACCGAGACCACTTCAACACTGAGGGCTTCTGAAAAAGAGAAGAGAGATGAGGAGAGGGTAGTTCTTTTCCACTGATGTTAATCAGTCTGACCTCCTTTTTATTCCTTAGCAGCTCCCCCGCTACTCTGTTTTCTGTCCTTTTTCTTGTAGTCACCTTAGTCTTCAGTCAAGGAAACCATGGCCCACTGCTTGAAGCTGAGGGAGGCTTTCACCTGACTTGTAACTTCTGTGGACTGGTTTGGTTTAAGGCCTAAAACTAGGGCTCAGTATTATGTGCTGCCTTGACCTCTGGTAAAGTTTGGAGGGCCTCGAATGTCCTAACTGTGTTACTCCCTGTTGTACTCCTATGGATAAGATCCTCTAGCCAAATAATCCTCCGATTGAGGAGACAGGCACAGTTTGTACTTATTCCTGTGTAGCAGGCTTCAGTTCCCTGCCAATCCATGGGATTATTCAAAAAAGCTAATCATACCCTCCTGTGGGCACCAGGGAGAACTTCAGCCTCTTGATACTACAAAGTTTGCCTCTCATGTCCCCTGGTTGTTACTCTGTTTCAGAGTGCACCCCCCATGTTGCCCCTCATGAAGTGCTGTGTCTTACTCCTCCAGGGTTGTGACCACACTTGTAGATAACTAATAGGCTGCTCTTGATCTCATCTGCCCAGTGTTGGACCACTGTAATAACACTAGGATAAGAATCCCTTCCTCACCAAAGTGAACAACAGCTCAGAATACAATGGCTGTACAGCTCAAAGAATGTAACACTGACACTAAATTGTACCTGTAAAAGCTGTTTAATTTAATGTGTATTTTCCTGTGTATGTTTTCCACAGCAACAGCGAACAAATGCAGCTAGTTAAAGAGAAGAGATCTGTCCGAGCTACATCACCAATCTCATGTCCTCTACTCTCCTTGCTCTCTTTCCTCCAGGCTTGCAGCCCTCTTTGTCGTCCCCCAGGCATCAATCTGGTCATAGGGACTTTCTATGTTGGTCCTGCTTGGGAGACTCTTTTTTTTTTTTTTTAAGTTTTTATTGTGAATTGAGTGATAGTTTACATGGGAGAGCATCAGCTTTATATTCATACTGTTGTATTTCATTTCATTGCAATGATTACAGTCTCCTTCATGAAGAATCATTCAACAGCATTTGCTTCCAGTCCCTCTGTTTTTTTTGTTTTTGTTTTTTGTTTTGTTTTGTTTTTTTGATGTACACCGAAGCACTCAGGAATATATAACCATTCAAACAACCAAAGGGTATACCCTGCAAACCAGCCGCCCGGCTGCCAGCACACAGCCCCCCTCCGTCCTTGAGTCTAGAGACCCCAGCCGCTCCGTCTCTCCATATCATCAACTCTGCCTCCATCTCTGGCGTCGCTGCTTCTCTGGATAGGGTCCCGCACTCCGCTTTTCTCCCTTCATGATCCCAGGGTCCTCTGCTCCTGGACTGCAAGATCAACCACTCCCCCGTTTTGTTACAAAATGTCTATCTTTACATTTGCAACATTCACAGTCAGTCCTGATAGTATTTATTCACTATTGACCCACAAGTCTTATCCCCATCTCCTTTCACCAGCCCCGTCTAGACAGGTGGGAAACCCCTCAGTGGAGGGTCTGCCTTCCCCTGCGCCCTCTGAAACTAAGCTGTGGGAGGCTCTTGATCTTTGCCTGACTGCTTTCTTCTTTTTTTCCCATTATTTTATTGTATTCCAATTGTTTCAACCCCTCTCCTATTCATGGCACAATTGATGAACAGAATTGACGATTTTTTTTGCTCCTTAATTTTATTAATTTTGTTGTTGTTGAGAATATAAAGAGCAAAACATACTCTCCGCTATGTGTCATGGAGTTGGTTCCGACTCATAGTGACCCTGAACAGGGTTTCCGAGGCTATAAATCTTTATGGGAGCAGAAAGCCTCATCTTTCTCCCGCGGAACAGCTGGTAGTTTTGAACTGCCGATCTTGAAGTTAGCAGCCCGATTCATAACCTCGGTGCCATTTAATGACACTGGGTGTATTTGAGTTGTGCAGCCATTCTCTTCCTCCTTTTTTGAGTTGTTCTTTTCCTCATTAACATAAGCTCACTGTCCTCCAAGGTTTCCATATAATCTTTCAAACTGCTTTTGTTAGTTTGATCCCATACAGACGATTCTTCAAAGAGTGTAATGCTCAAGTCTGACCTTTTTTTGCTAAACTTATCTGTGGAGTCATGGTGTGGTGCTGTAGGATAAACACTGAACTGCTAGCTACTAAGTCAGCATAGCAGTTCAAACCCACCAGCCATTCCTCAGAAACCCTATCCAGGGTTGCTATGAGTAGGAACCAAACTGATGGCATTTAGCAGCAGCAATAATAAGCTAAACTGTTGTTTGAATTTAAGCTGACTTCAGGAGACACTGTGGTTTAAGGTTTAACGATGATTCCAGGACAAAAGTTTCAGGGATTCATCCACTCTCCATAGCTCCAGAATGTCTTTAGTCCATGAACATTTGAAATTCTGATCTGCATTTCCCCCTTTTGACCAGGATTCATCTACAGAATCTTAAATCAGAATGCTCAGTAATGGTAGCCCGGCACCATCCAGTTCTTCTGGTCTCAAGGTACGGAGGCATCTGGACTGCCTTCTTACTGCTTCTCAAATGTCACTGGAGTGCTCAAACACTGTCCCCCACCTCACTCTAGTCACTGTTTGCCACATTGATCCATTTTATCTTCATTATCTGAAGCCATCTTGTTTTGTTTATTTGTGTATTTATTGTCTTTCTTCTAAGGATACATAAGCACCTCTGAAGACAGAGAAAATACCTGTTTTGTTCAACTCTCTCTCCAGCACCAAGGATAGCACTTAACACACAATAAACACTCAGTTAATACATGACTGGGGAGCTTCAAAAAGTTTGTGGAAAAATAGAATTAAAAGATAATTGAAAAAAAAATTTTAAAGGACTTTTGCCACAGACTTTTTGAAGTTCTCTTGTGTTTTTCAATGGACTGACTTGCTGTCATGCTAAGAGATCTGACTATTGGAAACTTTTAGCTTTTAGTAAGAGAGGCTTTGTTACCACATTTTGGCTCTAAATAGCTAAGGAACAATTTGACTGGCCCAGCCTGGTCACAACTCACCTCTGGGTTTAGGAAGGCAGTTCATGTCTGAACCTTACGGATGGAGCTGGGTGAGGGCTGACCCATTTTCGATGGCTTACAGGCACTGACCTTACATCTCTTTCCCCAAGACTGAGGGCTCATAGGAGCTGTGCAGCCTCCATCCGTCTGCCAGCACCTTCAGATTCCTTTGGGTGGCCTTTCTTCCAGGGGGTAAAACATTCAGTCCCTGTGGTGCAGTTGTGGTTACCTAGCCGTCTTTTGACTGTTTTTCTTCCAGATCACTGCTGCCAGCTCTCAGACACTAAAAGGACATGCTCTCTGCAGGACCACTCTGAAGAACTCGTCAGCAGATTATTGCTCAGAATGGATGGCCCCTCTACATTGATTTGGGCAGCCCTTCCCAACAGGAAGATAATGGCAGTGGTAAAGAAGCTTTGGAGACAGACTGCAAATGCTGAAGGGACTTCATGTTAAATGAAAAATGCACCTCCTTGCTGCTCTGTGAACAGCCTTTAAATCATTAAATTTGCCTAAACTAAAGTGACCCCTTTTGTTTAGTTGCTTGTACTTCATTTTTGCCTTGGTTATAGTGTTAGTCTAGAGTTGTCCTTATAGTGTCTGTATTGTGTTTTCCAACCTAGATTTAGCTGTGTACACCGTTAATGTTTTTTTCTAATCCCCCTGTACCTTAGGATCTAAAGACTGGAGAAAAGGAGGAGAGGAAGAGAACCATTTGCTTGGGGGAAAAAAACCCCACCTTCTGTAATAGAAATACTACAAGTGGATGGCTTTCATAAACACAAATGTATTCTCTTGACAGTTTAGGAGTCTATAAGTGTGAATTCAAGAGTGCCAGCTCTCTCGGGGAAGGTTTTACTCTTTCTGTCAATTCTAGAGGAGGGTCCTTGTCTCCTTTCAATATCGTTAGCCCTTATATCCCTTGGGAGATCTCTATGTGTCTAAGTATCAGTCTTCCTCTGGATATAGGAGGTTCTTAGCACAGGGACCCTGGGTCCGAAGAACACACTCCACTCTCAGTTTTTATTTCTTGGTAGTAGTTATGTCCCTCATTCTCTTCTCTCTCCTTTTATCTCTTGTAAGATAAAAGGCCATGCAGGCCACAAGCCAAGGAAATTCCCTTTAAGTCAGACCAAGACTGACTGGAGTAAGGGTGTTGCACACCATCTTAGTCCTCTTATAACTGATTGGTTGTTTATATCATGGGACAGATCACATCATTACGTAACTGCCAAATCACATCATTGCACACTTGCCAAACCACTACAAACTGAGACTCATGGCCTAGCCAAGTAGACACATACGAAAGTAAGTAAAAAAAAAGGTTTTGTAAAATCATAGATACCTTTATAAAACAAAAATATGAAAATGTGAAGTTACTATTTTTCAGCATATCCTTTATCTAGGTCTGTACATTTCTGAAGGTGGTGTTTCTATGTTTCTAACTCTTCCCTCAAAAATTCTGTACTCTTCAATTTGCATCACTTCAAAATGGGAGTTTTGGCATCCTGAACGAACTCGAGTTGTGTTCCTTAATTTTGGGAACAAAGAGAAATCTGAAGGAGAAGATCAGGGTGTCAAGTGGATGGGGTAAGATTTCCCAACAGAATTCTTGTTAAGAAGAGCTCTTGCTACACTTGAAGAATGAGTAAGTGCATTGTTTTGATGGGAAAAAAAATTCCTTGGCACAACTTTCTTGACCTTTTCCTCACCAATAGTTTTTCAGTTTTTGTAAAATTTCTTCCTATTAAACTTCTATGAGTAATCTATGTCCTTTGAGAAAACCTATCAAGATACCCGTTGGGATTCCCCAAAAGTCACCCTAACATTTTGAGCTGACATCTCTGTCTTGAAGTAAACTGGCCCAGCAAGTCCCCTTGGAAACCACTTTTGATTGGATGTTTATTTTATTTTATTTTATTTTATTTTTAAGGTTTTTATTGTGGATTGAGTGAAAGTTTACAGGGCACATCATCAGTTTCACATTCAACCATTTATAT